GAATGCTACTAATTGGTCCTGAATTACGAGCAGCCATTTGCTGACCAGACTCGATGCTGTTTTCGTTCCCTAAGTCTCCATCCATAATAGGATTCTGGCTTGGGTTTCATTTCAGCTTTGGAGGAACCAAACTCCCCGCCTGACCAGAAGGGAAGGGTGCAGATGGGAAACGATCCGCCCTGGGCTGGGAAGCCTGCGACCCCCAAGAGGGTTCGAAGACGCCAACCCAGGAGGCAAAGAGAGAGAGATCGGGCCGGAGGGGCCTGAGGAGGCCGAGGGGAGTCGCGAAGGATGTTGGGGGCCCCCGAACCTGGATGCAGTGCGGCAAGTAGGTGAAGACGGTGCCCTTCAGGGTGAACTCTTCCCCCCGCACCACCGAGTAGGGCATGGTGAGGTCGAGGAAGAAAGGCTGCAAGGCCTGCAGGGTGGCGGTCTTCGCCAGGCCAAAGCCGGCGCGGGTGGAGAGGCAGAAGGCTCCCGCCCTCCACTCGGTGATGGAGTCCGGGATGGTGACGGGCACGGAGACGTCGCCCTGAGCGAATTTGGCTGGGCCGGACTGTTGCTCGCTGGCTGGCTCTTCCTCGCCGCTGTGGAGGAAGATGAGAGGACAGGGAGATGAGGAGGAGGAGGAGAGCTCACTGGACGCCAGGCTCAGCCACCTCCCTCGGAGGCCTTCCGAAGGGCAGCCCAGACGGGAGAGCGACCCAAGGCCTCCTGGAAGCCACCTCTCAAGATGGGCGGCACCTAGACCGCCGGCCTGGCAACCGGCTGAGACCTCCTCCAGGCGCCGCCGCCTCCCTCCTCCCCTCGGCTGGGAGAGACGCTCCTCGGACCAAAAGCCCCGGTTCCCATTCTTGGGTCACCAAGAGCTGTGCTTGGACTACAAAGCCCAGAAGCCTTCGCCATCCGCTGCACTGGCCGGGTTTTCGGGGAGTCTCTGTCCAAGAACCACTTGAGTTACCCAAGACTGGGAGCCCCTTGTTTAAAGTAATTCCTTGTTTTGCTTCTATATACAAATGTTATTAGCATGTCTGGTTTATGCAAATCCTAGAGTCACGAAGTGGGAAGGAGCCGCCGAGAAAGCCACGGAGTCCAACCCCCCCCCCCCTCCAGGCTCGGGGGGGGGTGGCTACATTTCTCTTGAATGCCTCTTGAATGTTGGAGCGCTCGCCACTTCCCATGGTTATCTGTTTTTCTAACGGTTCTGTTAAAAGGACTGCTGTCACAGATAAGAGGTTTTTCCTGATATTCACGTGAAATCCGGCTTCCTGTAACTTGAGCCCACTGTTGTGTCCTTTTCCATCTTCCTGTTCCCTCCTGCCATTCACATCACAACAGCATCTCTAACACTGTTATGTGGGAGGCTGGACTCATAGAACAGGGGCCCCCAACCCCGGGTATGTGGCCCAGTACTGGGCACTGGCCCTGGCAGGACTGACCCCCCTGCCCGCCGAGGCCTCGCGCGGCGGCGCGCGCCGA